GTCTTATAACCGTTGTAAAATTAAAATCTTACATTTTGGTGAAATTATGTCTACTTGGTCGTAGCTACACGTTCTTCCCTACTTTTTCCCTAGAATTTTTTAAATTTTATTCACTTCTGATGTTTTATAGCTGTTTCATCTGGTGTTTTAAATATTTTGCGGTCATTCCCGGTGCTTATTGTACACGTATATTCATCAAGTAGGAAAAGGACAAACTGCCCGCATAAAATTACAAATAAAACCTTTTAGTAGCAAAAGTGGAAAATTAAACCAAATTTTATCAACGAAGATCAATTTATGATTTTTAAACTAAACCAAAATAATAATAATAAAAATACAAATACTGAATGAGTGAAATACCTTCTTTTCATAAATTCTAATAAGTAATGAAATATCCCAATAAATTCCCATATTGGAGTAAGTGAAATAAAACTTTATAAAGTAGAGCACAACCCTATTTGGGCTGAAGCAGTAAGTAGTACGGGTAGTATACGGAGTATGGATATAAGCTTCTTAGTCTACCAGCTATACCACATTTGCCTGTTTTTGTAAAAAGAAAGAAAAAAGGTTATGCTATATATCATGAAATTATTAAAAAAATTATGCGTGTTATAATTAAGGTGCTTTTTAATAGCTAAAAAATCGTATAATAAAAAAAAAAAGGTTTTTATAATCTGAACCCGTAAAATTGAAAACAATTTAGTAATGAAATGAATTAACATTTAAGAAAAAGATCTGCAAAGTAATGTATTGTGCTGACATGAACACTGTTGCAGATCATGTAAAGTTATTACGTAGGCGCCATACTTCAACAATAACAATGATGATAATAATAATAATAATGATAGTAGAGTAACATGGGCACGTGTCGCCATGGAGGAAGTGTGCCATCACGGACCAAGTCACCACTTGTTCATCCTGCCCCTCCTTCGAACGGTTGCCAGCCAGCAAGTCGAGCAGTCTCTACAAACGGGAGGCCTCCCACTGCCACGTGCCAGTTTGTAAGATATCAGAATTAGTCTATTGTTTGTCAACTGGAAAGACAGGTGCTGCATTGGAAGTGTTTGCCTCTTCTTCCTTGAAGTGAGACTGACGGATGTGGCGGTGACGAGGAGGAGGAGGAGGAGGAAGCAGAGGCGGCTGCTCGTTAAACAAAAAAAAAAAAACTAAAAAAAAAAAACATTAAAATCACCGCCCGTCACCGCTGACTCTTCCGTGACCTCTTCTACTACACCCCAGGGCTTGTTTTCTCTCGATCTTTTATCATCAACACGCGCACACACAAAAAAAACTAAAAAAAAAACAAAAAAAAACATCTTTTTTTGTGTCCAGTCAGGGACAATAATATTGATTTATTTATTTATAATTTACGAAATCCAGCAATGTCTAAGATTTGAAAAAAAAAAAAAAAAAAAACTTAAAAAAAAATAAAATTTTTGTCCACAGGTTTTCTCAAAAACATAAAAAATTAACTACTAATTAATTTATAAAAATATTTTTTCAATAACAAATGACTATATTTTATTTTATTCTCATAGTCAACACATTTTCTCTGATAGACATAAAAGAACTTAAATATTCTCCAATTTTATATTTATTTATTATTTTTGCAACTTAATTTATTTATCCTAAGCTGAAAAAAATCCCATTATTTCTTATTTGGTAAATAAACTTACAGGTGGAAATCAAACAACACTTAAAGAAAAGAAAGTTAATCAACAAAATAAATTGCTTTCTTTTTTAAAAAGTATAGTAAGTTGTCCCTTTTTATTTGTTCGAACATAATAAATAATTAAAAGTAGTATAATTAATTTGCTAATAACAGAAAAATTAATAATGTTGTCGTTACTAACGACAATTAGATATGTTTGACATTGCGTCAACAATCATACGTAATTAATTTACTTACTAGTAGTTGTACTAACATTGCTGCCATCACAAATCTACACTTCGTGTTTAAGACAGATTTTTCAATTTCATTAATGAAGATTTCAAAATTTTTTAAAATAACATTTAATTGTGTTTGCATTTTATCATAACTTGTTCAGATTTCGTCTGCTAAAAATAATGTTTGCTTCACAAAGAGCCATTCCACCCCTGAGGCGAATAATGGTTTAGTCCAGCAATAACCTGCTTGGACAAATGGCTGGTCACCATGAAATTATAGTTCAGTAGGGAGAAAGACATATGCCAGATAACTAGAAGAGAGAGAGAGAGAGAGAGAGAGAGAGTGAGAGACACACACACATATAAGCTAGGCTTGAAAGCGATTCATTCTCAAATTAACTGACAGACAGGTGGCGAGTAAGAAAACCACTTAGAAGGGATCATTTAAATTTGTGATTTAATGAGTTTATTAATCAGCCGGTCAGTGAGGAAAAGTTCACTTCACACAAAGAGAGAGGGAGAGAGAAAGAGAACACGAAAAAATTTCATCATTATCAATTTGATTTGTTAGCAAGGTATTCAATGTAACAGGCTTTCCGATTAATATTTTTTCTATCATCCCTGCTGCTTGTATTGTGCGCCTTCAGCTAAATTTAAGCTGGCAGCAGGTCGGTTGAAGGGGGAAAATTGACATCAAATACAAAAAAGAAAAGAAAAAAAAAAGCAGTTGGAGGCTGTGGCAGGTTTTATATACTCCACCTGGACAAATTGTAACTACTCAGGTGTGTTAGAAAACACAGAGAGACGGACTTATCAGGAATAAAGAAGGAAACCGCACATCGTATATAAACTAGATCGGTTTACACAAGCAAATGTGGTGGTTGGTTTTCTGAACCCAAAAGGAACGATTTGCCTACCCACGTAATTTAGGAAATTTGGCGATTTATTTTCTTGAGCATTGAATTATTTTTTTTTTTTTTATTTCGTTTTACAGCCTCTTCTGTAAACAATCAAACCAGAAATAAGAATGACAGCTACAACGTGGTCATCTTTTCTCTTACCTTTTCTACTTTATTTGGATATAATGAACAGAACTGTGACTGGTAAGTTGTTAAAACAAAATTTCTTTTGTTGTTTTGTTCTCTTATGTTTTAGGATTTTTATCTGATGGTATGTATGAATTTCATTATGGTTTATAAATGAAAACTTTATTCCAAATAACAATATTGCATTTAACAATTCTTCAACATAAAAATCTAATTCATCATCTTATTGATTTTTAAAGTCTGATCGGTCGATTAATATTTTTTCGTTTTTTTTAAGCCAAATTGATGAAAACCAGATTTAAAACGGTTTTTTCTTTATTGACTGTCATTCACTCTTAGCCTTTTAAAGTCTTAATTTATTACCAGATAAATATTTTAAAAATATGTTTTTAAAGTTAAACATCAAATTAAGTTACTTTTAAAAACAAAAATGAGATCACATTTCTTAAATGAACTCAAAATTAAAGAATACATTATTATTAAAATAAAAAAAAATATTCTCTCAATTTTTCTATCGTATTTTTTACTCCTTTGTACTTTGTTTATTTTTAAAATATAATCTCCTTTTTTTCATTTTTTTTCTTCTAAATCTCGATTTTAGACTACGTTCCTAAATTGAACTTTTTTCTAAAAAAAAAAAAAAAAAATCTATATTTTCAATGCAACAAGTACAAAATTGTTTCCTAATAGACATAGCTCTCTAAATATATATTTTTTTAAAATATTATCTTCCATTATTCATTCATTATCATTTCTGTCAATGAAGTCACAATAATTAACTCCAGGTGATGAATTCTTTTTTCTGCTAAAAATCCAAACTAAACACATGACACGCCTGTATCAAATTATGCTGGGGTTTTTTTTGAGTCTTTTTCCCTATCAGCAATTCTCTCACAGGTTAGTGGTTGTAGTATTGGAATCGAGGTGATAATACTTTAAAAAAAAATGAAAAAAAAAAAAAATTTTCTATTTGATTGGTGATGAGGATCCTTTCTAATCCATTTCACCGAAAATGAGAAAAGTGATATCTCGCGCGCTTTGACTTGTGTAAATTTACAATTAAAGCGGTAATCAAAACCAGCCTCTTCTGATCGGTAAGAAGAAACAAAATAAAATTTACGAGTATAAAGGGCCAAATTCTCTTCCTTTTCCACAAAAAAAAAAAAAAAAAAATGAAAACTTGCCTTAAACGACAATAATAGCGTTGCGTTGTCAAATTTACATACAAACACACACACACACACAAAAAGTAATTGAAAGACATTTTTAGTTTTTATTTAATAATTTCCATGCATCAGTAACAGTTCAGCATTTCCTCAAAGACAGTACTAAATAAAAGGGGGGGGGTGAGGAAAAACCAACATATTTTTCTTTTCTCTCTAGCGTTATTATTTCAAAATCTGATATGGTTTCTGCGTCAAATAGGAAAGTAAAATGAATTTTTTAAAATATTTAACAAATATTTTTACCAAATAATAATAATGTATTTAAAAGTAAATTTAAATCTTTGAATTTCAAGTTAAACAATTGATTTTTTCGATTTTTTCTTTTGTCACAAACATACGTTTGTTGTCATCACACATCGAATTTTTTTTTGTCCAATAAATTAATTAACATTTATTTTATTTGTATACAGGAAGATACAATTAATTTCATATGTTGTCCTGTTTCTTTTAGAATTTTATCTTTGTACACTTATAAAATAAGTGAAATCACTAAATTCATCATACATAAACTGTAAACAATAGATTTTCAACCCCTCATCACTATATAAACGTTTCAAACTTTTTTCTTTAAACTAACTTCATTTCTAATTATATTCGAAATTATTTATCTTCAGGGGCTATGATCAGTGCTTGTCTAAAGAAACAGAAAAAATCTTTGGACATTAAGTGTCCGTCTGGTTCAATGGTCCAGATCTTGAGGGCTTTTTATGGCTACAGTCCTAGTGGATCATGTCAGCATGACCCCAGTGAAAATAACTGCACCTTGGATGAAGAACAAAATTATCCATGTACTGGCCGTGAATCTTGCAGCATTAATCTACCATCTGGAAACGTTGGACGCATGACTAACAGATGCAATAACACCAACAGTAACTACTTTCAAGTGGAATACAAATGTGTCAAAGGTAAGTACATACATTTTTAAATTTAAAATAAGTCATTTGTGTTATAAACTGTTTTTTTCTAAAACTTATTTTTGAAAGATCTGTATAAACAAAATAAAAAAAAATATTTATCAAGCATGAAAAACTGCCAAGATATTTACTAAGTTTATTTTGGTATGGCACAAGGTCATAAGTGTTGAGCACTCGGCATACACTACAATAGAAATAGTCTGCAAATACTAGTTTAACCACTATTCCAATGTGATGTATCCCCAAATTTAACTTTATGACCAATAAATCTGTTTAGTTACAGCAATCTCTTTTCAGTTTTTTCACCATTATTAACAGTAGATATCTCAATTTACCATACACTATGCCAAGTTTATTTGTAAATATTTTGTCTGAGACTTTTTACTGTACTAGAGTTATTCACCTTTTGTGCAAGAGATGCTATGTGGCAGTGTCTTTATGACAATGACAAACTGTTTCAAAATAGTTTACAAAGATGGAAGCTGAAAAGACCAATTTCATGAAAGAACAAAGTACAATAATAAACGGGAAAAATATATTTAAAGATTCATCTATGAAATCTTAATAATTGACAAAATTGGCTTACATTTTTGATTGCATGAGTAAATGAGTTAGATATTTAAATTGTTATGAAGTAACATTTCACATAACTTGAAAAATATTATGAAGATTATTGACAATATTAAGGGGAAACAAAGAAAGTTTTGTGTGTTGTTTTTAGTTGCCTGCTTTGTGGCTGAGATAGTTGTGTATAATCTTACACAATGACAAAAGTCTGAAGCCCAACAAAAACTTAGGTTTCAAATACAGATTTTTTTTTTCTTCTTCAAATCAAGCAGATCCTCCACACTTGGAGGATTGACATAATACTATCTTCCTACTGTTATTAGGTTTCCTATAAAGTTAACCTTGAGATGTGTCAACAATTAACTATTTATGAAATTATTCAAGAAATACACAAGTTTTAGTCACTCTTATGATTATTACATCTATGAAGTACTAAGTTATTTTAGTAACAATTCTATTCGAACGTGGTTTCCATAGGAAAGGTTTTACATTATCCTGATTTACTAATCATTTATTTTATGTTTGGGCTTTGTGTGGGTGGAATATATGTTTGATTTCCTCAGTTTTGTTGTTTGTATCCTAATATTTTGAACACAATAACTCTAGCCTTCAGTTATTTTCATTTATAAAGTTTATCTGAATAATTTTTCTTGTGAAATTAGACCACAAAGTAAAGCATTTGTTTTCTTAATTATAAATTTTCTTTCATTACAGATTATCAGACATTAAATCTGTGTGAGAATAAATATTTGACTGCACAAAGTGGTTATATTTCTACACCACGCTATCCAAACAACCTGCACGGCCCTTTCAGCTGCAACATGAAAATTGAGGTCCTGGCCCATCAGCAAATTCATTTACATATTATTGATCTGGATTTAAAAAGTAAAACAGGAAGCAACTGCACAGACTATCTGTACATTGACCAGATACTCAACAGTATTACCCTGTGTGGCCGGAGAAGCAATGAAAGAATTGACACTTTACAAAATGTAATGAATCTTATGCTTACTGTAGGCAGCAAAGGAAGCCACAAAGGATTGTGGCTTTATTATGAAGGTAAGGCTTTGATTAATTATACAAAAAAAAAAAAAAAAAAATAGCTCCATATCATTTTAAATAAACTTTTCATTATATCTTATTTTAAGTATGAATATATATATATATATATATATATATATATATATATATATATATATATATATAAAAATATGTATATAGTAAAAATCAATCAATCCAAGTGAATCCTAATAATATTAAAACTGATCCACAAAGAGAGCTATTTATTACAGAACATATATAAATAAATTACATAAATAAAACTCAAAAATGCCTGATCTGTATGGCCATTTCACACTGCAAGAAATTAATCTTCCAAGGTTTATCAACATCAAAGGGTTTGAAGATAAAATTATTTTTATTTTATCTTCAAACCCTCAGAAGATTAAGTTCTTGCAGGGTGAAATGTCCATATATATATATATATATACACATACACACACACACACACACACATCCAGGTACGATGAGAATGAATGGAGTACAATTCCAACATTCGTAACATTTAATTTAAAAGACGGCTCAATACAGAGTAGAGCAATATTATTTATTTAAGGATATTACACTGAAAACATGTAAAAATCACTACACAATTTATATATATATATATATATATAAATAAATGATAAAATATAGTTTTATGGTATGCTATATTCATAGTAAAAGTGTTCAATATCTAGGATAGAGCATGTGTAAATATAAGAAGCATGGACATGGATATCAGTGCAAAGTGGCGACAATCTGTCTCATACTTGGATGCAATATTTTTAGGCCTGGAGATTGTGTTCAAATACAAAACATACTGTCATTACTCAGTATTGACATCAGTGTCCACACTTCTTCGTATGGGCTATAAATTGCCAAGAGGAGTCGCAGTGTGTAGTCAGAAGAATGGAAAAAATTGTAGCTAATGGAAAGCACACAAGTTGATACCCGATAAGTATTGGCTGGGTCATCCTGGAGAGGGGGTATGATGTTGAAAGACCCCCAAACCCCTAATGAACCTCAGCTAGAAACAACACTGATGATGTGTACCAAAGTATCGAATAGATGTATTACGAAATATGTATGTGTGTATATATATATATATATATATATATATATGCAATTTATTATTTAAATATTATATATGCGTGGTACTTATTGGAAAGTGCTCAATATCAGTGATAGAGCTAACACATTAGTTGGATTGATTTTAGTTTGTGACCCTGGGTTTCATGCTTTTGTGATAGATTGTCTGACTATCACAAAAGCATGAAACCCAGGATCACAAACTGACCTCAATCCAACTATATATATATATATATATATATATATATATATATAAAGAATAAAAGTCTTGAACATAGGAATCAATTTTAGACTTGGTCGGAAGATCATATTAAATGTGAAACAGTCACTATCCAGTGTTAATTTCTATGTCCATATTTGTGTTATAACAATAGATTTTCTCATGACTCACCTATTTGCAAGACCAGGTTGCTAATCCAACAAATGAGTCTCTTGTTATGCACAAAGAAGGTGCACCAGGTATTTAAGAACACATTTTTGGGGCCATAAATGGAAGAGATAGTATTCTCATTTGTCTTTCAGATATATTGAGAGCATTAATATGGCCACTAAGAGGGGAAATAAAAAGACATACTGTGTTTATGGCCAACCACCGTGACCCAGAGACAGCAAGCTTCTGGAAATTGGTCAGAAGAAAAGCAAGGACTACAGATGTATTTATCCATAACGATGTGTATACCAAGTACCTATTGTCTATGATGGTCCTGAACATTGTAAACTATCAGGTCCTGCAGGGTGTTAGGATGAATGTCACTACCTACATCCAAGGGCTGGATTCTGTGGTCAGACCCAGGATCAAGGATGTGGTGGAAGGGAGGTTTAAGTGTTCCAGTAGGACTTTCTCTTACAAGACCCATATGACTGGCAAGTCAAGATTTTCAAGATCATGTCACCAATTAACATGTGGCCTCCAAGCTTGCCTGTTTTAAATTCTCTGGTTTATTATGTCTACAGGATCATTGAAAAGGACACCAACCAGCAGCAACAGCTTTACAATACCAAAGATTCACTGACACATTGCTAATGGTAATATTAGCTGTTTCCTTATAAGAAAAAATTCAGCTTTCATTGACCAAGCAGCTAGTGATATTGTCAGTTGAAATTTATAAAATCTTTCTCTTAATGCAACTTTTTTAAAAAAATAGGATTCTCAAGTCTATTAGTTGTTAGTGCTCATTCCAGTATTGATGCGGGTTTCCTTATTAATCTTTTGTTTAAGGTAGAGTGGAAATTTAAAATTTTGATTATGTTATTATTTTCTCTTCAAGTTACATGTGCTATCCATTTTAGTTGTTGCTGCAGTTGAAAGTCCTCAAGTGATGTGGTTTCTATTATTTGGTACAGTTCTTTATTCATGGTTCTATAGTATCAGTCCATGAGGTTCAAATGGTCATCATGAATGAGAACCACCTGATCGAAGTATTCACTTGTTTCCATTAAGAAAGTGAGGGCAGTTTTAGCAAATAACCTTTTCCTGTTTTTCAAAGGTGAACATGTGTGCTGATAATATTTGAAAATTAACATTGTTTCGATTCAGTATCTTTTTTTGTTCTTAATTATCTGGTGCATCCTGTATAAGATTTGAAAAAGTCTTTATTGAAATTAGTATTTATAAGTCTTGCAATTTACATTTACAAATGATTTTTAAAATTTCTTCTTTTTAGCTTTTCCTCCCTTACCTACAAGCACAACACCCATGACAACAACAATGAAATTAAGTCTAAAAAATTCTAAATTAAGCATAAGAAATTCTCAGCATTATCACAGCCAACCGGAACAAGAAAAGGAAGATTCTATGATTTTTGGTGAGTTATCCTTTTTATTGTGCTAAATATGAAATCAAGAATTTTTTTTTATACAAAGGAGAATCAATGTCTATAGCTTAAACATGATTGTAGCTGAATTTTTATTTAAAATATTCTTTGTATAATATTAGATCTATTAAAGTGCTTTAACAAAGATTTAGCTTAAAAATAAATATTTGTTGCAAAATTAAATTCACCACTAGGCTACAGACATATTGATGAAGCTACCATCACAATAAAACCCAAGTTCTTATAAAAATATTTTAAAATTCATTAGAATAAACAACTATAGCAGTTTTTTTTTTTTTTTTTTTTTACACACACATACATACATACATGCATTTAAACAGTTTTAAAACTTCTAATTTGTTTTCAGTAAATCTAAAGTTATTTAAATAGAAATAAAGATGATATTTTTATTATTATTATTATTATAACAATTATCCTCAGCTTGTGAATATTTTGAGTTTGATTATTCAGTTGTGTAGTAAAAGCCTAAACTTACAACAAATTACAAGTCGTAACGTAAGCAGTGAATTGATCATTTAAATGTTTTCAAAATCAACACTAAACTGTCTTTGACTCAATAAAACTTTTCTAAATAATTATGTATATAGTTATTTTTATTTTTGTAAAAAAAAATGTTAATCAACATTTTCAACTGCAATTTTTGTCATTTTTATTGTTCCAGTTGCTGCTGTCGCAAGTGGAGTTATTGGCACATTAGTATTTATCTTGATTGCACTGCTTGCCCTCCTGGTCTTCAAAATGTAAGTTTCAAAGTTCTCATTTCATTGTTTCTTTTTAATACTTATATATACACTATTTGTCTATATATACACATGAGATCTACCTGACCAATGAAAATAGATATAATTCAAAATAACATTTTCCAACGTGTCATCTCATTTCCCATAATATTCCGATGAAGCTATTAATGTGAAACATGTCAAATGTTTCACGTTTTGTTCCTTATTTAATCATTATGTCAGATTTAATTCATTCTTTTTCAATTCATTATATAAAAATCTATAAAAAAAATCATGCCTACTGGTAATTAATATTCGAGATAAATAATCCCTAAATGTTATCAAAATCAATTGTAATTTTTTTTTTTTTTACATAGATGCCTTTATTCTCTACATTAGAATAAATTTGTTTTGAAAAGTAAGAATAAATAAATTAGAATAAATTTTCTTAATTCTTAAATTTTTATTCTTTTGCAGTCAAAGAGAACGAAGAATAAAAGAGATGTACATATCTTCCACTGGAAGGAATCGGGACATGAATCACAAATCAAAAACACAAACTATCTGTAACTGTGCTACTTTTGATGTTTGATCTCCCTAAACCATTACAAAGAGGGGGAAAATATTTGATCTCTTTAGGAGTATTTAAAACAGCTACAAGAACAGACTTTCAATGAAACTGCTATGAAATTGATATCTGCTCATCCTGAGTTTGTGTATTCAATTTCTCTATCACAAAAATTAGAAAATTTCCTTTGTACATTAGTACTAAGGTATTTTCTGCTGATTCAGAAAACCTTCTCCCCATCCTTGCAAATATAAATAATCCTCTCAAAACCTTTTTTCTAAAGAATTAGAACTAGTCTATCATGTTGATTAGTTCGCTAACTTTTTTCCTTGCCTCTTCTCAAAGAAATGTGCATTGTTCCAAGGATTCTCAATTAGTTAAGAGAAATTCTTTATGAAGAAGTATCTTTAGTCCACAAAAAAAAAAAAAGAAAAGTTTAAAAAATATTTCCACACCATAACAATAAGATAAGTATTAATTTGATTTCCTCTGTTCTTGTAAAAGCAACTCTTGAATGGTTGTGAAGTGGTTTTGATAAAGTACATTTCTTCCTCCTCCTCCTCCTTTCCCTAGTCACAATGGTGCTACTTTGCTGTAAACCCTGTTCTATCCAACTGCTACTAAAATATTGTGACCTTACTGACTGCACTCTCTATGGGTTGGAGGTGTATTTATTCACGGTAAGAAGTTGATATTTCTAAACACTGTTGTTTGTGGGTTTGGTTTGATTTTAATCAATTGCAGAGTGCAGTGTTGGAATTAAATGTTTTGAGTACAACTAGTCATTAAAAAATGTTTCATTCAAATTGTACTCAAAAAAAAAAAAAAAAAAAAAAAAGGCAGAATTTTTTTTTTTTATGCTGTCTGTTTTATTGAGGTCTGCTCACTTGCTACAGCTGCCATTTTTATCTGTGATACTTGAACTAGTGGCATTCCTCTGTTGGTATTGTTTAAAATTTGAGAACAGATAGACCCAAGAAATTATTCTTCATTACATCATTGCTGAATTTAAAAAAAATAAAAAAAAACTGTCCAGTGAGTCAATATCATGTGTATTATTATTTTAAACAGCCTTGAGTGAATTTTAAACCATTTACTCAGGAAATTAAGTTTTATTTTCAAATATTATGATACTAGTACAATACACATACTGAGATTCTAAACTTATAGTCAACAATGTTTGACTATCATGCCCACAAAATATGGTGTGTCAAAATGGTTCCTTGACACCGATATTACTGTATACACTTTTTGACGCCCTCAGAAATGTTTATTGTTTTAAAAAGTGAAAGTTATATTTTTAATAAAACCCAAACATATGGAAGTGGATTTATACATTTTTTTTATTCTTGAGAATTGACAACAAAGATTTTAAATATTTATTAGAATTAAGAAAAAAAATGTTTTCATAATTATTTATAAAATGGTGTATAATAAAAATTGCATTCTAGTTGGTTTATATATTGTGATATTTTTTTTTTATAAATTTTTGAATATAAAGATTTCTTTTCATTTTTATTTCTTTATAAAATTTAAATAATAAACATTGCATTGTACTTGGTTCACATATTTTTATAATCTTGTAAATAAACATTGCCAAGGGAGTCAGAAGTGTCTACAGTAATAGGAGTGTCAAGGGAATAACCGTCCTTTCGACAAACCATTTTCTTGTAGGCATGAGGGTTACACATTGCCTTATAGTCTTTGTATATAACTACTGTAAGGACTTCTAGGGTACAGATGAATTCATATTCATGATTTTTCTCAGACTCATTGTAAAATTTCTGACATTGTCATTTAAGTCTTGTTTGAACACAAAATGAGTTGTTGAATATTTTGTCTACTATAATTATTGATGATAAATCAAGTGTGACTACTTAATCCATTTTGAATACTTTGTATGCTCAAGATGGTTTGCATGATTTAACTTTTGTATTATGTAAATGGTAATCTGGTCCCTACATTTTTCTTTGCAGTTTTTAAATTTTTGTTTGTCTTGTATTAAACGGTCTACACTCCAAATTCTTAAGCTTCTGTTCTTTTAATATCTATTACAACCCTATTACCTAATCACAAATTTAAAAAAAAATACAAAACTTAATTTATTTAAAACAAAAAAAAAAATTGTAAAAAGTTTTTTTAAATTAAATGAACTTTTTGTATAAAAATCATCAGACGTTTGTTCTAACCACTGCTGGCTTTTAATTTGAAGAAAATTTAATTCATTTCTTTAAATGTGCATTTGTTTTTTTTTTTTGTTTTTTTTTTGGTCTTTTCCCCAACTCTGGATTTAATTTTGTAATAACTTATGTATTTGATAACATGAATATGTGAGTTTAAAATAAACAAAGAACATAAAAGAAGTTGGGTACACATTATTATTGTGAGTTCTTTTTTTTTAATATGTGGGTTTATCGTCATTTCTTTCAAAAATATATTTTGCTTTTATATAGAGTATTCTCTCAAAAATGCAATATTTGGTTCTTTATTTTTTTAACACCTGATAAGCTACCCAGATATTTATATAAATGCAACTAACATGACATGAGATTTTCTTAACGACTGAGATTGTCTTTTTATAATAAAACATGGAACTAATAACACATTAATTTGTACAATTAAGGAAGAATAAACCATTGTCAATTTTTTTTTTCCCTTATTTAACACCATCTTTAGATTTTAAGCTCAAATAATTTTCTCACAGAACTGATTTTTACAAACGAATATAAATAATTTTAAATGGATTTTTTTATATGATCATATTTCTTCTGATGACAAATGTTATTTTTAGTGGGTACACATACTTGAGTTGCTACCCGTGTTTTTATTTTTTAGTAGGGATTTATAATCTAGTCCGGTTGTTATTAATTTCAATGTTTAAGAAAATGAAATCAGGGATAGGTTCAAATATGTATACCCACTAAAAATAAATGTTTAGAGCAAAAAGATTTTTATAATGATTTGTACATAGTTCTCCCATAGAATAATTTCTAAAAGCAATAGGAAAAATGAATATAAATAAGTATAAATACAGAAAAAACATTGTAAGTTTCTTAGATTCTGCCAACTACAATAACAGAATTTTTATAAGGACAACAAAACACTCACTTGATAATAGCTTTTTGGTCTGAATTCAGCTCAGATCAAAGCCATTAAGTTTTATTCTTTTTTCTAGTAAACTTATAACACTACTTGTCTTTGTAGCATTTTTTTTTCTTTTTTAACTCAACCTTAAACTATCCAAATTTTTAAAATGAACCCTTTCACAGTAGAAAGGAACCCTGGCCTTATTACAGGCTAGATGTAAGACCCCCCCCACACTTTTTTTTTTTTTTTTTTTGGTTCTACACACCAATTCCACTGATGTATATAAAACCAAAATCTTTTACCTTTTACAATCTGCAAAAAAAAAAATGACAAAAAAAGTTTCTGGCAGCACCTTTTAGAAATACTGTTCAATGCTGGTGCCTTAAAAAATTATTATCTGTTTATTATTCTGGTGTTAATTGAATGATTTATTTACTCCTGCAGATTGTATACGGCAAGAGTCATCTTTTATCAAAAAAAGTAAATCCATCTGTAATTTTGCACCCTACTAAGTTCAGAGCATTAAATTTCATTTGTATAAAACTGTTTTATCTTCCAGTTTATTTAATTTTTCATTGTGGACACCCCGCTCCCAGATATTTTAAAAATTTTATTTCCTAAAGACTGACCAACCCATTTTCAACAATTTTTCTCTAAAAATAAAAGAAAAATGTTTTTTATTTGCTTGAGTACCAAACAATGATACAAAGTCCTCTCTCAGTTTTAAAAGAATTCAATGGTTGGCTCTCTTATTTTTCTTTTACTGGAAATAAATGATCTACACAAAAACTTTTAATGTTTTGTTATATTCTTTAATTTTCTATTTAAATACATCAAAGTTTGTCTAATTTCTTTGAAAATGCTATCTTCAAATTTCAGAATTTATTCAAGACAAGATTGGAACTATAAAGTCATACAGAAATATCTAATGAATTATGTCAATTTTAAGGCAAATATAAAGGTGATAAAATGTTGACATTTCTTTATTGGATACAGTATTGTAAAGAGGTGGGTTATTTAACAAGTTAGATTTTATATAAATGAACAAAATCCAAACATTAAACAAAAATGAATGGAAACACAAAACCAAAATCAGTTTTTTTTTTGTTTTTTGTTTTTTTCTGCAACTAATATAAATAATGATACAAAGACCAAACATACTATAGTAAAACCCCCAAAAGGTCAATGGTAATGTTATGGTATCATACAGTATATATGTTAGGAGCTGATTAAAAGTTTAAATTCATCAAACACTGATTTTCTTGTGTAACTGCTTTTATTGTGATAACATTTTATGGGATTCAATGATTTCATTATAAGAGAGTCATAGTGTTGAACTTAACAATTACAGTTGGAATGACAAGGGAGTTTATTTCTTAATAACATGGATCATATAGTCAAACTCCCATTTTTAATTCACTCCTTTTTAGTCATGGCCCTTCATATTGTCAAAGTAAATTAATCTCTCTTAACACATACAAGAAGATATTATTATAAGGAGTTAAAACACCATTTCTATCCAACTGCATTTCCTTTTTTATGGGAAAAAGATTCAAGGGAGGTAAGTCAAGAACTACAACAATTAGCCAGTTTGAAATTTTGTAAAATTGAATAAACTTTTAACGAACTTTTCAGACATATTTCAAATACAATATGTAACATTTTGTAACCTTTAACAAATTGTCTGCCAATCACGAGATAACTCGGAGTTGGTATCATAATAAAAACTGCTAACCACGAATTATCTTTTGCCAAAAAGTTTATCTGCAGTGATACTTTTAGTGTGAAAACAATGTTAAGGCTTCAGTTGAAGCTGTAAAACAACATATAAAAATTTTTATTGCCTAAGTTGGAACTTTTTATTATGTTGGCGTTTGAAGTCGGATTTCATAATTGATCTTTAGCAGTTGACATATTAAACTTCAAATTACAATTTG